GCTTTTTGATGCTTTTTTTCTTTGTCTTTTGATTTTAATCTCCTAGTATGTTTGAGAGACATTTGCCTTTAAATGACCAAAATGTCTGCAGAGGAAGTGACTGTACCAAAAAAGGAATGCTGCATTAGTTGCTGAGTACAGCTGAAAAACTGAAATAGCTAGGTGTACAACTGGCTGTAAAATTACATTGGTAAGCAGGATTATCCATATATCTACTAGTAAAATAAAGTAAATGATGTCACACTCAGCTGAAATCTGTTTCTGTCTGTGGAAACTGGCTTTGTTTTTCTCTGCTACATTAGCGCAGTGTGCTGATATCCAGTGTGAAACACAAACTGCACTTTTAAAAATAACACTTAAGCTTTCAAATTTGAAAAGCCTTGGAATAATTGGGCCCATCCTTGAAGTTCATTGTATATATACTGTAGAAATACCAGAGGAGGGTTGTGTTTATAATGTGTAGCAGTAGGTATTGCTAGCAACTTTGAGACTTTTGGGGGTATCAATGCAAACAGGAAAACTATTGGAAAATGCTTGGCTGTTGTAGCTCCCTGTGTCAATGATGCTGATTGTGCCCAGGCTCCCCGCTGCTGCTCTTCCGTGTCTTTCTGCTTCAGTCAGCTGCAGCGATCTCTTTTTTTTGCCTGTATACTTACCTAGGATGTATAGACTGAGGGTAAAAGTGAATTTTGCTGACCTTCAACTATACTCACTGGCAAGAAGTTGGTTTTTCTACTGTTAAATTGCCTGGTAGCTTTAACTAAGATTAGATGACTTTGCCAGTGTGAAGGAGGTAGCGATGCCAGAGTTGGCAGCAGCATCATGCCACACTTAATGTCAGCTCTGGCTGTAAGGAGATAAAAACTTCACGGTACTGATTCCTATTATTTCTGGCTAAATGTGCTGATGTTTTTCACTCTTAGTCCTATCTACCCACTTTTTGGGGACAAGTGACAGTTTTTCTAACAATTCCATGTTACAGCAGTATTGAACACTAATAAGTAATGATATATTGTGGTGTTAAGTTTCTTGTTCTTTGGTTTTAAAAGTGATTTCTAGAAGAATTCTTTAAAAGAAAAAAATTAGTACTAAAATAGGGATTTTTCTGACTCTTGATTTGACCAATATTGAGTAACATAAAGATTTGCTAGATGGGGAAAACTAGCTACCTTTATTGGGTTTGTCTCGTGCTAGTGTTCTTGTTTAACTTGAGGTGGTCTTTAGCTTGGCTTTATGATCTTATTATTGTTACTGTAATAAGCTCTCTGCTTGAGGTTCAACTGTTTCTGAAGCAGTGCTTTCAAAAAATTCCATTCTGTCCCAATTCTTGTTTCTACCAGATTTCAGAGGATGACACAATCAGAGGATAAATTGCTTTTTAAATATAAAAAGATTACTGTCAAGTAGCACTACTTCTATTAAGAAAGGTAAAGTGAGTGGAAAAGTGTAGACCAAAAATCTGTTAAGTGAAAGATTCAAACTGTTTTTCTTTCATATGCTTCCTGGCAAGAAGCTTACCTGTCCAGGCTACTAGTAGCTATTTAAATAACTTTGGACTATTTTTTGAGAATTGGGGAGAGGTACCTAGATGACCAGTAACTGCTGGCATATAATTATGCAGCCGTCAGACTGTGGTGGTTATGATGTTCAGGAACCTCTTTTGTGTCTTTTCTTTGAACAAATAAATTTCTGCCCTTATAAAGTCTGTGTTATGTTATTAGGATTAACGAGGCTTTCCTTGTCTCTGATACTTAATGGTTATCATTTCAGCCAGAACAACAAGGAAAGGTGAGAGCCATTAGAGCTGATGGGTTACTGAACAGCATGTTCCACAGGGATGAAAATGAGAGGAAGAGCTGTTATCTACAGAACTTCATCAAAATGAAGGGTGTTTGGTCTCATGTTTCTTCTATTTCCAGATCTCCTGTTATTTGGGTGAAGTGAGGTTTTTAACTTGCATTGTCAGGCTTTTCTCCTAGTTGGGAATAAAACCAATCAGGGTTTTTTGACTGTTGCTTTTCTTGGACTTAGGATGAAAGGTCTTTGGATAGTAGTAGAGCTGTATTTGGATAGGCTTCTACAGATTAGTATGCTGAACTGGAATTCAAGTAGTCTGGACTCTTTCAAAAGGCATTTCAACATCTGAAACATGTGGGTAAGCTCTGCTGCAGTGGACTAGCAGCTTGCTTATACCTATTAAAGAGCTTCAGGATCCATCTTCTGTTAACTCCAGTTTAGCATCAATTGTGAAATTCTGAGCGTACAGATCCATGTTTTAAACTGACACTATGGTACACCAGTTAATGCTTTTTCATATCAGTATTGTTTTAAGTGATCTGCAGTGCACCATCCCTTCCCACTACAGAGGAATCTGATCTTGTGGAGACCTGCTTGAAGTGGCCTTTAGCTCCTCTGCTGCTATCGGCCATTAACAACTCTGTTGTATGGGTAAAGGCCCAATGAATGAAAAGATTGCAAAGAAAAGATTGCAAACGTGCCCCAGGAGATTTGTTCAGATCTAGTCTTGTGTTGTGGAAGTGAACGCATCCTAGAAAAGAGCTATACATGATTAACTAGCTTTGACTCTTACTTATAATCAGGTAGTAATTCTTTTTATTGTCCTAAATTCAATTAACAGATTATTTTTCTTAGAGCCTTCTTTGTTTTTTTAAAGGTAAGAAAATATATGGTTCAGTGTTTGATTTTTCTTAAGTTGAATTTTATAGATTTTAAATTAAACTATGAGGAAAATATGAGGAAGGTGTATAGGTATTACACATTCAGGAGAGGATGGGGCTGTAGATGTGAGATTTATACATAAAGCGGCTTTGGGCTTCTTAGTGCAAGCAAGATGTTAATTTATTCGAGAAAGTTCAGTGGAGGCCACCAAGATGGTCACACCACATGACTTGTGAGGGGAGTCTGAATGAACTGGGCTTGTTCAGCCAGAAAAGAGAAGGCTTTGGGGGGACTTATTAGCAATCTAAGTAACTTTTTGGAGGTTATGAGAACCAGGCCCATTCTCTTTGCTGTGCTACTCGGTCAAGGGAGACAATGGTCTTATATCCAGTCAGAACCAGAAGTTTAACTAAAACTTTGCACTAGGAGGCTCATTAAGCGTTGGAACAGGTTGCCCTGAGAGGATGTGAAATCTCTCTTTGCAAGTCTCTAAGACCTGCCTGGCTGAAGCCTGAAGTAACCTGGTCCAAACCTGATGTCAGCCTTGGTTTGAGCAGGAGATTGGACTAGATGACTTCACAAAGCCCTTTCAAACATGAAGGGTTCTGCAGTTATGCTTCCATAATTTTATCCTTGCCCCACACTTGTGGTATTTATAGCTTAACATTAGTACCTCTGCCAGTATCCCCCTGCCCCTGCAACAGGCTTCCTTCCACAGGTAACCACGTGTTTTGTATTGCACTCAAGATGGAGAAACCCTCTCTCTGTGGTATCTGTGATGTTGAAGAAAGTATCTCACCTTTGCTGTTAACCAATTCTGTATTTTTTCACTTATGTACTATATGTTAACCATTGGTGATGACTTTAGTACTCTAAATTGGCTTCCTACCAAGCAGAAGACTTTGGCCTACATATCAGAGTGGCGCTTGGAAAGATGGTGTATATCAAACCAATTGAATTCAAACTTACGTTGATGTCTTGTATAGTAGGAAGGTTCTGTGACAGCCTTTGCAAGTAACATCTTGTAGAAGATGAAGGCTCTTGGAGTAGTTGCTTTAAAAAACAAACAAAAAAAATCAGGTCTACAAGTTCTTAGAATTCTTTCCTGGGTCTAACAGTAAAGTAAAGCTTGGTAGCATCATGCAGTCTTCTACAGTGGCTCTGTAGGTAGAACCATTTATTTAAAGCTACCTGACACAACTAAAAAAACTTAAATTTTAGTTGATTATTTGCTTTGGTAGACTTCAGCCATTTGAGTTGAAATCTTACAGGCCAGATCTGTCCCAGGTGGACTGTTATTAAAAAAACATGTGATGCATCTTCCTTTGCTGAACTGTGAGATGTTAAATTACTTAAGAGTTCTGAACTTTCTTAGAAGATCTCTGGATATCCCTAGAAGTGTAAATTTTTCCCACATAACCATCCTGAGCAAGTTGTAAGCGATGCTGCAAAGATGTAGCCAGACTTTTCTGTAATTGCTGCTTTAGGCCAGCTGGAACTAAGGGCAGGCAATAGCTTGACTTTACAAGGTGTAACAAGCTGGTGAAACAGAAGTGTGGAGCTCTTGCATTTGTCAAGGAGATGGCAATTACTGCTGTGCGGTTTCTCCTAAAGAACTGTGCCTCTAGTCTGTGGCCAAGACTCTTACTAGAAAACGCTGTATTGTAACAAACTTGTGTTAGAGCAGATCTTTTTTCTGATCCTGCTCTCAGCATGGATTGCTTGGCATCCTCTCGCCCTGCTCTGCACCTTACTTTTGATGAATTTTAGCAGAAATTGGCTGTCTGAGCAAAACTGGATTAATTCCCAGTTGCCTGCATTTTCATGTGTTGCTGTTGCAGAGTTCTAGCAAAAGGAGATGAAATTATGTAACTCGTCTCGTTGTCTTAAAATTACTTTTGAAGAATCTTCTGGTAATCTGATAAAAGTAGATGGTTCTGATTAAGTACTGATAGTTGTTAGAGGCTCTTTAAGCATGATAGCAATGCCAATGCGGAAACAGTCTTTGGTATGGACAGACTGCAGGACTGGTTTTACTTGTAGCTGAACCAGAAGAGCTACTAGTTTTACATTATCTATTAGAGGCAGTCTTAGAAAACTGATTGTTGTCCTCAGGGCATACAGGCTTTTCTGTCCGTGTTGCTCTATTTTTGTGTATTGCGAAATTTCCTCCAAGCAACCTATAACATTGTGATCCCCCCCAAGCTAGAGAATGGGATTTTTTTTTATTACGTTGGCTGCATTGCTCTAATGATGTATTGTCACCATTTTGTTGTATACAGTATAACAGATTCTGAAAGCTCTTTTCATTTTCCAATAGGCTGGTGTTTGGGATGCTGTATCCTGCATATTACTCATACAAAGCTGTGAAGACAAAAAATGTGAAGGAATATGTAAGTTGCATTCCTTTTAATTGCTTAATTAAATGCCTCTGCTGACATACAACTGTGAAATTTTCATTATGCAGTGCAATAAATCATACGAAGGCTCGAGTCAACTATCTTACCTGGGTGAATGTAGTGGTAATCCTGTGATTTTGTTTGGAGAGATAAAGTTAAGGTTTCTCAGACTTTTCATAGACTTTACTGAAACGTGTCCAACATGCTATGCTGCATACGAGTATTTTTAGGAGGATTTTTAAACATAAACCTTAAAGTATTGGCTGTGTTTCGGTGAAGGGCCCAAAATAATGCACTTTTGGGTAGGGGGTAGAAAAGAGGTTTCTTAATTCTACCAACACCTGTAGTACAAGCAATGATAAATTGATTCGCAGTGACCACTTGAACAGTAGCAGCAGTTTAACTGTCATTGTATGGAGCTCAACAGGGGATTCAAAATCTGCCTGAGAAAAGGGTAGCTCTGGTTAATCTATTGTTCTTCAAAGAGGAGAATAGATGTAACCAGGGGAGGAAAAGATTTTGGTTTAAGGTGATGTGGAAGAAAGTAGCAGGACAGACAGAAGAGCAAGATGGAGAAAAACACAGTTACTGCAGTTTAGAATTAATCTGTAAAATTATTTGCTTTTTGGTGTGAGCAATGACGATTACCACAAGAATGTTACCCAGTTGCAGTCACAAGGAGCTTTGGTCACTGAGTTACTTCCCTGTTTTAAGAGGCAGCCTAACTTGATTTTGGCAACTAACCTATATTGGATGGAGTCAGTGCCATCAGTTACTTTAGCTCGGCAGCTGTAGCTGTGACCTAATGCTGCTGTCTGGATGTGTGATGTCTCTGCTTTGTACTTGGTTGTAGCAGTAGAATGCAGTAGCTGTTTTTCCTCCCCTTGCATGTCTTACATTTAGTCTGATCACTCCATCACGGCTCCAAAGTGTATGTCATATTCATACTTCTGGTTTCTGTGTACAAGCTGATTAGAGCTTATTTGTGCACATAGAGCTCGTGCCTGCCAGAGCTTATCTTCTGGGAGGAGAAATCTTCAAAAATAAGAGGAGAATTTCCTCGTGTCTCATGCTTACTGTACTCTGTCAGGAAAGTATATAATGCAAAGAATTTATAATCTGCTCTTCCTCCCTGCTCCCTCAAAAGGGATCTACAGGCTAAGTAGAGGATAACAGTTTTGAACTCTAACACAAGAAATCACTTTAAGAGGTTACCATTGCCTCTTGCAATGTGTTTTCTAAAAAAAGAAATGTTTGTAGAATGCTGAGATTTTGACTTACCTCAATTGTCCAGTTAGCTATGACTTAGCTGTCTTTCTCAGGCAACCTTTTTTAGAGATGCCTGTCACTTACACAGGACCTCTAGTAGGGCCTGGAACAATATTTTTCCAACTGTGTATTTTCATTTAGTTTGAAAACACTGCTTTTCAGTCACCTGTGGTCTTTGACCAGTCCCTGAATTTGCAGTTGCATACAAAAGGTTCACAGGGCTGAGATGAATGAGACCCACCCCAGTGACTTTTTCATGGGCAGGGAATGACACTGATTCATCAGAGAATTACCACTCCATTGCTGGTTGGGTTGAGTGTCCAGATAGATCTTAGGGATGATCCATGGCTTTCATCTTCCCAGCTGGGTCATTTTCTTTCACGGAGAGGGTGTAGGCTTAACTGCAGCCTTCCAAATGGCACAACTCTCATGCCAGTCATGTTAAGGCCCAAGCACAACTTCCTTTTCAGGGTTATGTGTGGCTCAGGAGCCATCTGGTTTTGTTTGCTGGATTGCAAGAGCTTTACGACAGTGAATTTTTTTACTTAGCCACTGCTTCCACTAGTAAAACAACAAACAAACAGAAAATACAGACATCTTGACCTGCTGTGTAGGTCATGATGCAGCAAATTGTTCAAATATTAGTTCTGGGGGAAAAAAATTGCTGCTGGTTTTGGTGGTTTAGAAGACTTACGGACTTCAGTTCCAGAAATTAGGGTCTGTGCCTTTGAGGAGATCTATTTGTTCTTGTAATTACCCTAGTTTAATGGAGTTGACTAAGATATTTGAGGAGTCTTTTCACTGTTATGCCAAAGTGCTTGTAATAAGCATCTAAAACATAGTTGCGAAGTCTGAGCAACCAGTCTTCTCAAATCCTGGCTTCAAAATCCTGACTTGAAAGGATGTGCTTCAGCCAAAGCCAACAAAGATGAGTTTAACACTTGGATGGTAGAAAAAAAGTTGACAGAACAAATCTGTAATCACCCCTTTTAACACAATAATAACACCCTTTTTTATGTTAAAAAAGCAAAACTTAATCAAAGCTTCTTAACTTTGTCTTTAAGGGGTAAGTAGATGATGGTCTTCTGGACAGTGTTAAATATGACCTTCTGCTTTTCCTGGGTATTTTTTTGTTTGGTTGGTTTTGTGTTTTCTGATATGAAAACCACTTGTAAGTCACTCACGTTCATTTGTTAAAGATACTTTTGGTACCTAATGCACTAGTTGTACTAGAATATAATTTGACTTGTGTTTTTGAGAATCTTTGCTCAGACCTCAGCAGAACTCCTGGCAGATCTCATGTGCCCTTCTGCAGAGTATTTCATGCTGTTCCTGTCAGCCCAAGAGAAACTCCACTTCTACTGTTGTTCCTAATTAGATAAATAGATATTGATTAAAGAATGAATAGCCTAGGTAAAATACATTGGAAAAAAATTCAGTCTTGCATGGCATCTTAAAAATTGCATTGCATCATGCTTAGGTTGATGGGGCAAGGGTGGATGCTACTTTTATTTTTATTCAGGTGTTGAGACTAGTTCATGGAAGGGTCACCAGTCTAAATGTCACATGGCCTGTCAGAGATGACTTCAGCTGTTGTGTTTGTCTTAGCTTATTCAAGCCTGAAATATCTAAATCCTCTGAGAGACTGAAGTGAAGAATGTCATCACATGACTGAGTTTCTTTTCAAATTGAAATGCAGAAAAGCATTTAAGATAAATGGGTCTCAAGTTGTGACAAAGGAAGTGGTTTTAAAGCATAATGCACAGCTATGAAATAGGCAGCAGTGTAGCGTTAGGTTTTGAGTACTTATTTAAGTCCACTTCAAAAAAAGATTCCTTTGAAAGTGAAGATTACATCTGAGCCACACCCTCTGTAGGAAAGTATATATATATTTTGCTCTTTTTGAAAGAGGGTACCATGAATTCACGACTTGAACTAGTGTCTAATAAATGTGGTGTTTAATGCTTTAGGGGTATACCAGAAGAGTTAGTAGTCTGTGTATCGCAAAGGAAATAAGCCTACTGCATCTGGTTGCAGGCGATGCTTTTCTTCTCTTTTCTTTTTTTAAACCGTTTTGTTTTTTTCTAGCATAGATAGTGTTGGAATTTAAAGAACATGTGGGTATTCAGTTAGTATGAATAACCAGTGGTGGTTTGCACTGCCCTATTTTGGAAATACCAGTGGCCAAATGCAATGTACTTCAGAGAAGACAAATGCATGGAACTACTTCTATAATGTTTATTCTGAAAGATGTAATCAGTTTAGACAACCAAATCTGAACAAATGCTCAAGATAAATGACAAAGAGTTACTTAACTACTAGAATACAGAACTAAAACTTGTATTTTAAGAGCATTGTCTGACTTCAAAAGTGACGTATAGTGTAAATCTTAAAAGTATATAGATACAAACCACCAAAACATTTAAGATGCTTACATGTGAGCTCTTTTATTAACAAGATTTTTGTAGTTCTTGGCATATGAACAGAATTAAATTTCCATGAAAATGCTTCTTTCCTGCCTTGCCCTTGTGTTAATACCATAATGCTAAGCACAAATGCAGAACTTAACTGCAAAGTATAGCTGAATAATGTATATTGTGAAATGAAAGCAAGGGCTACCTGACTTACTAATGCTGACTTTTGTGTTTGTGGTATAAACATATGGATGAGTGTGGAAGAGAGTGAAATATCCTGTAGTGCTATAGTGGGAATTGCATTTCATACTTATGATGATCTACTGACTCTTTACAGTGTGTTTTTCCTATCACTAAAAGCTTTCTAGAAGCAGAATCAAATCTGTGAAGCCAGCCTAGGTGAGGTTGTGACACTGGTGACCCAGGCATTTCACTTAGCTTGTTGCAGCTGCCACCAGTTCTACTTTGGAACAGAAAACCCTTAGGACCTTCACATAACTTCACTTGAAACCCGGTTGATGCAGACTGAGATACTGTTGAATGTCTTGCTTTGACAGCTCCGAACTGGCTGTACAGCGTATTCTGTGAAAGGTGAAATCAAAATTCTTACTGAAGATGGTGTTTTAATTTTCAGGTTCGCTGGATGATGTATTGGATTGTGTTTGCTCTTTATACGGTTACTGAAACAATAACTGACCTAACAGTCTCTTGGTAAGAGCCTCCTTTTTATGAAATCTGTATGAAACTATATTTGTTTCTGATGTTCTTTGATTTGTAATGATTTAATTTTTATGAAGAAGTTGTGCTTGTTGATAGCCCTTTTTTCAGGAAAAGATCTCGGAGTGTATGTGAAGAATAACAGAATAACATCTGTTTTCAAGCTTGCTGTACGCTGTGACTTGAAGTAGGGACTATAAAACTTCCACCTTTGCTGTAGAAGCTAAATAGGGGAATGGAACTCTTAAACGGATGGACTATAATCTCTCTGTGCAGGAATGTGTAATGCAAAGCAAGTATATTAACTGTTTCCATTTCTTAAATGACAGTACGGTCAATTCAAAAATTAAACCCATAGGTCTACAACTCATTTAATTTTTGTCTAATATAACTTCTTGTGTGTGAAGAACCGTATATGCTAATATGTAACTGTGTTTTTTGAAGAGGTCTCTTCATGATATTTAATTACTGTGCATTTTCTTACTGCAGTTGTTGATTTCATGCAACCTTTAACTTGTCTGTAGGTTTCCACTGTACTATGAACTGAAGATAGCTTTTGTTATTTGGCTCCTTTCCCCATATACTAGAGGGGCAAGTTTAATCTACAGAAAATTTCTTCACCCGCTTCTTTCTTCTAAAGAAAGGGTAAGAAGTAACTTCTCATGTTTTTAATGTCCAATATGGAAATACCATGTGCTGAAATACTAACTGTTGCTAGATACATGATAAAAGCAGATCAGTGTGTTACTGGTTTGCCAGGCAGCATAAACTTGGACTAGAAGAGGCAAATGCTTATGACTGTACATATATATGCTTCTGCTTCACTTGCATGAGCAGACAATGTGCTACTTTCTATTGACATGAGATAGCCTGGTGTTCTCAGTCAACTTGATGTACTTTGGGGAGCCCAGCTGAGTGGAAGTGATGCAGTTTGACTTTCTACTGGAAGAACACGTGCAGTAGTCTCTGTGCAGAAGCATGAATGCAGTTTTAGCAACAGCTCTTCGTTTTTTCTAGCATAACCTAGTAATAACACTTCTCGGGACAAATGACATCGATGACTTTTCTGGTGTGCAAACTGAAAGGATAAGAGGAGAGACTTTCTACTGAGGTTTAAGGGAAGACCAGTCTGCAATAGAAAATACCCAGATGAAACATAGCTAAAGGGTATTTAGCTTTAGCCAAAGTATGACAGTGCCACAGATCTGCTTAGGTCTTTTTCAGTGTTCTTTTTGGATATGTGGCAAGAGTGATTAGGAAAGGTGTGATGACTACTACTGAAAAATCTCGCAGTACAGAAAATAGCATTCATAAATGTCAGTGCTGGGCTCGGTCTTTATTAGGCAAAACAGGTAGCTGACATGGTTGCCACTGATATGAACAGTAAGGTCATCTTGACCTTCTGAAGGTTGACCTATAAACAGTTTGCAACTTCATAAGCTAAAGGGATTTTTCCCTGTAGTCTGCTAGCTGTTGTGAACTACCTTGAAGCCTTTATCTCCAACTGCAGGCGTTAACCACAGCTGGGGATAAATGTCTTGACTGTATTGTCCTTGGCACTTAACTGTGTCAAAGCTCTGGCTTCAGAAGTTCTTTGTGAGCTGCCTCTACCTTTCTAAGGAGCTCTCTGATTCCATCTTAAGCATGTTGTTTCTTCAACAGCTTTTGTCTGACAAGCTAAGCTTGCTCTCTGTAAGGAACTTGCTGTGTAGCTGCAATGTTTCTGAGCCGGACAAAAGTGATCTATTTTATCTTCTTGTTTGACGAGACACAATCCTTTTTTAAATGCGAGTATAAGTGAATCAAGTATCAGCATACAAAGGCAAGAGTAACTGTCCCATTAAATATTTTCTTGAAGATTTCTTTTGTCTTCTTTTATTGATTGGAAAAATAATACTGTGGGGTAAAGGACTCTCTTATGCAGAGCCCTCTAAAATTTAAGTATGTTTTGCTTTTAGGAGATCGACGAGTACATCGTACAGGCCAAAGAAAGAGGCTATGAGACCATGGTGAATTTTGGAAGGCAAGGGTTGAATTTGGCAGCAACTGCTGCAGTGACAGCAGCTGTAAAGGTAACTTTCTGCTTGCATTAATTGCTTTTGTCCTTGATATACTTACAGAACAGTGTAATTGTACTGAGGATTTGCCATTCCTAAATAAAAAGATTAATTCTGCAAATGTATTGAAAACCTGGAACACAATTTAAGGGTTGCAGCACTCTAGTCCTCCTCATACTATGTTTGTTTGTTTAAGATGGCCTGTAGTTACTTCTTGAATGATGGGGATCAGCTTACTGTAATTCAAAAGATACCATGCAGTTTTCTATGCAGGCTTTTGGTAAAGATGACCATTGTTTCTTTTCTGTCTCTGTGCTTTCTTGTTGGTAAACAAACTATTTAAAGGATTTGTGGCTTTTCTGCTGTTTTTCTCCAATCAACTTGAGGTAACTCCACATCTGAAGTAAGGCATGAAAGATTACTACCACAGATAAAAGTTATTTTGACACAATTAACTTGTTTGCAACTTGTTGGTTGAATTCTTAAATTAATATACTAAGCATAAGCTTGCATATCGCTGTTTAGCATACTCTTGCTTTGTCATGTAATTTCCATTAAATCATGAAGTAACCTGTGGTTGTTCCCAATTTATGTTTCTACAAAACTCATGACCTTCAGTTGAATTTCAGTGGGTTCTAGGTCTAGGAAAACAAAATATAAGCTTGTAAGTAAGATTCACAGCAACTTGTGGGCCACCGAAAGGAGTATAACTTTAGGCAATGTGTATCTTATCTAATAGTAATATAAACCAAAACACACACACAAAAAAAAGTGTGGAAACGTGTGTGTCCTAGTTAAATGATAGCTTTAATGCGATCAGGATTAATTTCTTCCTGGGAATAAATGAAACTGCTGTGTTCATAGTAACAGGACTGAAAACCTGAACACTGTTAGTAGATAACCAAAAGCAATGTAGAGATCTCTGGCTGTCAAAGTTCAGTAGGTACAGCTAGCGTTTAACTTAAATTTCTGTGCTTGTGTGTGAACTTCTTGGTTTATAAATCAAAGACATTTCTAAAAACTGCATTTTAAAATGCTATCTCAAAAAGGTATGGAAAAATAGTCACGCATCTTTTGTTTGTTCATTTTCTCTCTTTTTAAAGAGATACATATGTGGGTGGTAGTGTAAAAAATACTGGTTTTATTTTAAAATATGGACATAATGAGCCTAAAATACTGAGAATGTGATTCAGTTTGATCACTGGTTCTTTTTTTGTTATTCAAATTCTTAGTATTGCCTTGAGGCATGAAATAGTTTAGAATGAAATAGAGTACACCTCTAAAGGAATGAAAGTATCCAGAGTGAAAACAGGTTACTTATCAAAAAAACCAAACCCCAACCCCCCCCAAAAAACCCCAAAAACCAAACCCAGCAAACAAAACCTCAAAGTACTCTGCTGGGAAAAAGTTTAAAAACTATGCTAAAAGCTAAAGTGCAAATTCTTTGCCAAACAGCAAATCATAATTTATTACAATGTGCACCTGTAATGGCACTTATGCTCTGTGTGTTTTCCTTATGTCTGGCTAAGGTTGGGTATTTCCTTGTTAAACCTTACGGTGTTACAGAAATATTGTAAAATAAATAACATAAATATCTCCTCCCACTTTCTTCTGAAATAATGAGTAACTTTTTCCTAAATGTCTGTGTTTAGATTTCATTGCTATTCAGCTGTGACTGGCAAGATGCCTGCTCTATTTGTTAAAACTTGTTAAACATGCTCATGAATATTTGTACAGAATTAGTTCAGTGCAGATGAGATGCTTGGGCAAAACAACCACCATGATACCAAAGACCTAAAATAGATATGATTTTTAAACAGTATGAAAGAAGAGACTCTGAAAATCTTTATTTTGGCATGTTAAACCTCTCTTCAGTTTGTCATTCCAAAAAGCTGAGCGTGACTGCTCCATGCAAGCAAATGGAGACAATGCATGTGTTCTTGATTTTGTTCCCTGTTTTTCAAGAGTTGACTGCTGCCTCCAGCAGGTGAAAAGATTATCCCTTCAGCATGAGCTGGTGGAGCATGCTATAGGATTTCAGGAATGGAATTCTATTAGTGGGATCAGTTGTGATGGGAAGGAGACACACTTTCATCACTTTTTTTTTTTTTTTTTTTTAAAGGAGCAGGCATGTTTATTCTGATACATCTGATCTCAGATTAGGAGTAGAGAATGTGGGAGGTTAAACACAAGACGAGATCCAAAGAAAGCTTCTGTTCACTAAAGTGTCCAAGCAAAAGACACTACGATGTCTGCTTATGCTGACTTAGGAAGGTGGTAAAAGTGCTTGGAAACTCTCTGCAATATTTTCAAGATCAAGTGTGGGAAAGAGCAGTTTTCTCCAAGGGCTGCCAAAGGAATATGGGATTAGTATTAAAAGGCTAGCTGGCTGTATAGGGGAGGCTGGAGCAGCCAGCCAGCCAGCTCAGTCTACCAAAATTTGATGTAGTTTTAAACCTACTCCACTGTAGTTAAATTAAAATGTAATTGGCAAGAGTCATGGCTTATAACTTACATTCCTATACTGATATTTTTAGCTGGTACTAGATAGCTGCTGTTCATATAAAATTTAGTGTTGCAAAACTTGCTAAATAACATACATTAGGAAAAATAAATTGTGTTACTGTCATGTTGATTTAAGAAAACAAATCGTTGTAAAAACGTGATTTCAGGAGACTTGGAGATGAAATATGGTCTAGGCTGACTTTTACAGTTGACTAATAAAAATTTTCTCTGGATTATATAAGAATCAGCAACAAGATGTGTTTAATAATAGGAAAGTTGTTGGAGCTCTTTCAGCTCAGTAGTGTATGGATTTGTGGAAATTATGTCCACCACACTAAGTTCCACCGATATATCTTGTATTTTGATGCATCTGCTTTCCAGATCTTCTGAGATGCCAGTTACCTGTATGTTCTGATTTTTGCCAACACATAGATTCTGACTTGTCAAGCTACTAGCAAAAACTGGTTTCTATATCATCACGTGCAGGACGGCTGCGAATTAAGCTGTGAAATGCACTGTCCTTCTTTATGAGGTCACACAAGTATTGTTCATTTGTAAAGTGTTACTTGGTAAAAAAACAAAAACCCCAAAAAACCAAACACGTTTCGAGGACTGTGTATCTGCATGTCTCTTATCTGGAATCCACTGCCTCTTTGCTGACTGAATATTATTCTAATGGCCTTGCTCAGACTTCCCCTCCTTCCCACTCAGGGCATGGCAGAGGAAGGAGCTATCTTGCAGCCAGCTGTGGCGTACAGCCAATGTCACTACGAGCAGCTCAGCTCACCAGCAATATTGCTTTCATCCCTCCTCCCTGCTGGACTGCCTGGCATGCTGCAGAGGTCATTCACGGGACAGCAGTCCCTCTCCAGGTTGAGAGGGAACAGAAGTCATTCCGTCAGCCCGGATCAGATCAGGGAGGGAACAGCTGGGAATGTGGGTGCTGCACGCTGCAGCTCTGCGGCCACAAAGCTCCAAGCAGCTCTGTGGACACACAGTCCATTGAGAACTTGTCCAATGAAGGAAAGCAGCTTTGTTCGGTGATCCTGACCACTGGGGGGGTGCGAGTCCAATTTAAACAACAAAAAAGAGTCCCTGAGGCAGACATACTGTGTGGTGTCTGTTTACAGCAACTTCCCTGGGTTAAGTATATAGGCTATAAAAATACATGCTCAATAACAAAATAGAGAAGGGCATTTCATATATGAGGGCCAGCTGATGAGACAGCATACTAATAGCTTAGTAGAGTCTGAGTAGTCTCCAAAAGAGTCCCTTAAGCAGGCTATATTTATCAAAAACTAGATTTAGAAACCCATTACAGCTTAAATTAGTGCTTCAGGTTGGTTGCTGGTAATGAATGTGGTCTCTGAAAAGTGTTTAATATGTTTTAGGAAATACTATTGAATAAATAAGCAGCCTCATTCTTCAAGACTTGCATCTTGTTTAAGACAACACAGACTTTACAGTTCATCTCTCTTCGATGTTCATTTACATGGAAATTTGAGCACTGAAGTTGTTCTCTGTTTTTTTTTGCCTGCATTGTAATTGTAAATGTGTGTGTCAATCTTTTGTGGTGTAGTTTAGTTGGCAGCCTCTGGGCGGGATGCAGCCCACTGTATTTCTTCTTTACTGATAGGAACTGTTGAACTAATGGGACACCAGTGCAGGTGCTATCTGCTCGTGAGCAGCGTCCTGGGGCTGTGTGTGTGGCTGGGGAGAGGTAATGGCTGCTGCCCTACCTGTGGCGTGAGGGTGGAAGCAGTTGATTTCCTTGCAGCTCCACCTCCAATTGGATTGCTCTGCCTTCTGTTTTGTGGGGCAAACATCTTCTTTTCAAGCTGTGGCTAGTAACTCTATGAACTTTCAAACAAGGTATCAAAGCTCTTAATGCATTAATATTTTAAATGTGAATGTTACTCTCACATTTCCTGCAGTAGAGGGTATTTAATATTTTTCAGCCAGACTTTCATTCTGAGCTGATCGTAATCTAGATCCTCATAGAATGCTTTGTTTCAGCAGAAAGCAATTATCTGCTGCTTTTGGGCATGAAGGGTGGAAGAATCTTCCTAAATCTTAAGTGCTGTATGAGCACAGTGATGTGTGGGGTCTTTTTTTTTTTTTTTTTTTTTTTTTTAAGTCGGTTGTAGCCCAGTGGTGTTGTGGGTTTTTTTTTTTTTTTTTTTTTTTTATAATTAAAAAACCCCACAACCACACAGAACACCTCAAAATTTGTCCTCCAATTAGTCTATGCAGTGGTGTGAAGTAGAAATCAATCTTGATTTGCCTAGACTAGATCTTCCTGGGGTGGGATGGGGACTGTACCTGCATGGGGTTAGTATAGTGTATGACCATGGCTGTGCAGTACAGCAGTGGTTTTGCAGCCCCCATTCCTACTGTGACCCTCAGGCACGTGTGCTGCATCTCTTATTTGTATGTGTATCCTTTCAAACTTCTTAATGTTTGCTGTGTGTAGCTTGAGTGAAACTTTCCATCTTGGCAAGTACTTTTGGAATGAAGGGCCCATTGTACGAATCTGTTAAGTCCTCGCTGAATGAAGCAGTACTCCGCAGGAGCTCTAGCCTCACTGAGCGTGCAGTTTGGTTAAGGGCACAATGTTATTTTATGGCACATAGTTTGACTTTTTTCCCCTTTGGGGAAAAAAAAAATCCTGTATTCAAAAGCTGCACTGAAAAATAAGGCTGAACATTCCCAGTTTGGATCTAGTCTTCTCTATCTACAGTAGAATAGGAAATACAAGCCTGTAGTAGGAATTCTTCTTAGCATGTTATTTATTACAATCTTAATTACGTTATCTTGTACAATTTCCAAATGTTTCTTTGTAGTATGTCACATGATGAATGAACTTGCTGTGCAACCGTTATGCAAGTGTGTCTTTCTATAGTTTTGTTTCTGGCCAAATCCAGCTTCTGTCACTATTTTATAGTAGATTCTGTCCACACTTAGTGAGTGGAGTTGTGCTGAATTTATATGGGTTCTGCTGAGAACCAACTGGGTCCATTTTATGCATTCATCCGTGTTCAGCGATTGAGACCTGAGTCCAGTTGCATGTCTTCAAGCAATAGATGCAGACTGATCAACAGTCTGATGTGTTAGAGCAGATACTGTAAGCTGTCACTTGCTGTCAAAAGAAGCAGTCCTGTCTCTCCAGTTCTCCTCTTTTCTCTAGTGTCCTAGCAGCTGACTGTTACGTCTCAGGCATGACCGGTTCCTGATTTGGTTAACTGTGCAAATGCTTTTCGAAGCAAGGACTGGAGTAGTGGAAGGGCAGGATTCCTGCCTTAAGACAGGACAGACCTGCCTTAAATAAGCCATTTCAGGGAATAAAAATTAACTTCAGAATTCTACAATAGTTTATACACAGACTGTTCGGTGTCAGTAGTGCATTTTAAGTCAAAGGCAAGCTGTAGTTGTGTTCTTGAGAACTGTCTGTCAGTCATCCTGTCTGTATGTAGGAAGAACTAGAAAAGTAAAGGCTTCTACTCCTCTCATAGGAAACCCCTTCATTATTGTTTAGTGGCAATGTATGAATGGTGGTGTAAGAATTAAAATAGGTTCTTCTTGCCTGTGTAGCACACTGTCTTAGCTATATATGCTATACTAATGACTAGTCATTAGAAAACGAATATTAGGTTTCAGCCACTTTGTGTGTGTCTCCTCCCCCCGCGCCTTTGGTGGCCATGCAAGCCTAAGGAGTATCGCTCTACTGTGTCTTCACTTTACATGGCTATTTTTAACATGGAATAATTTAGTGTGCTGGTCTACCATCTGCAAACAGTTGTTGCCATGAGAGTGGGAACAAATGGCTGTGGCCAGTGGTGCAAGAACTGCCTTACGCTGGTGCTGCTGCAGAGAAAGGTGTGTGGAATTGTGCCCAGATTCTGCTACTGCTAGCGAACATAATGCTCAAATGAGGAGTTTTACTTAAAAGCTTCATTTGTAAGAATGAAGCAAAACCTTGAACCCTCACTTGAAGTGGGATTCGTGCACAGGCTTGTCAGCCTTCCTCTGAAACAGTTGGTTTTTGCCTTATATGCCAGAGAGGGAAGAACTAAATGTTATTTTAACATGACATGAATAATGTGCTTGTCCTTTTAGTTGCTTATACAATAAATTAAGCCTCAATGCTTTAATAATAACATCATCTGGTGTAAGGTGAAAGAGCTGCTTGATGACCCTTCTTTCCAAAGGAGAACTTTCTATATGTCCCATGTACAAAAGATGTAAAGACAATCAGAGAAGGAATACCAATTTTCAAATGCGATCAACTATCCTTATATGTAGCATTAGATTTTGGGTTGGTATTATGGCAGTAAAGCTACATTAAGTAGTAAGTAAGAGAACCTGCTAGCCTGGGAGTCCAGGCAGGACCTCTTTGGTTTGTGGTTTCAACTTTCTGTCAACTAGAGCTTTTGTAGTGCTGCCAGTTTCTCGGTTACTTGAGTTCATGTTACAGAGTGTATTTTTAAGACTTTTTTCCTTTCTTATGTATATTCAAATTTGTTGAGGGTAAAATATATTACAGCGGAAATCTTTATTTATCTTCAACCACACTTTAACCCACTGTCATGCTACCTAGCACTGCTAGAGAAATTTCATGTTTGAAGTGAATCGAGCATTTCTGATTTTTTTTTTTTAGACACTTCCCCTCATCCAAAAAGCCTTTATTTGCTCAGATTAAAGGAGTGAAATGAGACATTCCTAATGAAACCTCTAGCTTATCTGCAACTCTTTTTGTCTAGGAGCAATATACTGTTAAGCTTGGGTAAAAGCAATACTTAAAGCAAATGTAAATCTACCGCATGCTTATGTTCAATGAATTTTGTAGTGCAACAAGGAAGCATGGGCTTAAACATCTTAACCCAGCTTGGACAGCAAAGTTAAACCTCTACTTCATTTTCAAAGATACTGTTGTTGTATTTCAGAGTCAAGGTGCGATAACTGAGAAACTGAGAAGTTTCAGTATGCATGATTTGACTACTATACAAGGAGATGAGCCAGTAGGACAGAGACCCTATCAGACACTACCAGAAGCAAAAAAGAAAACCAGAGCCTCTGCAAGTGAATCTTCAGGTAAGTATCCATCTATTTTTTCTAACTAACAGAACAATTTACTGAAGACAAAAGTGGGAAAGCAGAAATACTTTTACCCCATCTAGAAATGGAAAAGGCCTCAAAGAATTCCAGTGCACTTGAAGAGAGCTGACTTGAGCAAGATATATTACGACAGTTGAGAAATGCTCCCTGAATTGTTTTCTTCTTGCAGCCACTAACAGTGTAGTCATACTGTACTCATTATTCCTATCTTCGCTAATTAGCAACGAGATTTTCTTGCCAAAATTAAGGTGAATTGGAAATAAAAAAATACGTGATTAAGTGGTGTTTCTGTGACAAATGTACAAAAAGTTTAACATGAAAATTTATGGAAGCTCAATAAATAGGAAGAGAAAATTAATGGAAATGAATTCAGTAGATCTGTAATGATAGTTCAAAATGTAAAATTGCTTGTGGTGATAGGAATAATGAGGCATTATAAGTTGTCATAATGGACTGATACACATCAACACCCAAAAGATGGTGTGCAGTGACCAATACAGAGATATTTTATTATAGCCTATTTCATTATTATAATATTATTATATAATATTATTATT